AAGCTTCAGGCTAGCTTCGATGAAGATAAAAGAAAAACCGCTAGAGATTCAGGTTTAACTGAAAGCAGGCGAACAACCTTAGAAGATGATTATTATGAGGCAATGGGTGCGAAACCTAAATCAGTTAGGACGACCACTCTACCTACTGATATATCAGAAAGAAGAAAGCCTGAGAGCCGCATTAGCGTAGGTAGGTCTCATGACAAGACTCCAGATAGGTTTTCCTTAACAAGTACACCTTATGTTAGAAATAGGCAGGATGACCCTCTGTTTACAAATATCACAACACGCAGACCTGATGTAACGGCAAACATTAATCAACAGAAGGATAATCAGGTAAAGCCAGATAAGTTTGATGGTACTACCTCATGGCTAGACTTCAAATCTCATTTTGATGTATGTGCTGAATTGAATGGTTGGTCAACCTCTGAGAAAGGCATGCACTTAGCTGTTTCCCTACGAGGTCGGGCACAGGCTGTGCTGGGCAGTCTTCCAGAAGGAGAAAAATGTAACTACAGGTTATTATCTAGGTCTTTGGAAGAGCAATTTCTGCCACCTAACCAAACAGAATTGTATAGGGCACAATTACGAGAAAGGAGACAGCTGGCTTCTGAAACATTGCTAGAGCTTGGGCAGGATGTACGCAGGCTGGCCAACCTCGCGTATCCTACTGCCCCAATTGACGTTAGAGAAACCCTTGCAAAAGAGCAATTTATTGATGCTCTGAAGGACAGCAACATGAGAATTCGCATCAAAGAAGCCAGGCCAGTTGACCTTAATGATGCGATACGTCATGCTGTGGAGTTAGATGCATTTAATTCTGCTGAAAGACGTCTCCAGGAAGATAAGAGTTATTTAAGAGAGGCCAACCAGCCATTGGAATCAGACAAAGACACCGTAACCACGCTGTTGAAGGTAGTATCTGACATGCAAGAGGAAATGAAATCAATCAAGATGGCAGTACAGAACTCAAAATCTACAAAGCGTACATTGTCAAACATAATTTGCAACTTTTGCAAGAAGAAGGGCCACATGAAGAAAGATTGTTACTCTTATCAAAATATGCAGAAGAAGTTAAGGTTAAAAGAGAAAGAAAAGTCCACCTCTTTTCCAAGACAAGGAAAGGGGACTGACAAAGATGCAAGTAGAACTGGTGTAAGTCGGAAGGCAGGGGAAGCCGGTATATTTGTTGATGCTACGATAAACGGTAGAAAAGCGAAGTTTCTAATCGACACTGGGGCAACCGTTAGCATCATTTCACCATCAACATTGTATTCTGTGATGGGTGATACAAAGCCAGTTCTTGACAAGGTCAACCAGTACGTTCTTACGGCAGAAGGTACTGCAATGAATGTAGAAGGTTCTATCTCAATTTCTTTTTGTTGTCTGCCCTGACAATCAATCAGAAATTTACAGTAATTGATGTTGGCATTGATGGCATATTAGGGCTTGATTTTCTTACTACTAACAATTGCTCGCTTGATTTGCCAAATTCTTCTATGCTGATAGGAAGCAAGTGGGTAAAATTGTCATTCGAAGGGAAAATAGGTTGCTGTAGGGTAACCCTAGCTGCCAATATCACAATCCCTCCATGTAGTGAAACTATTGCCATGTGTAATGTTGTTGCACCTGTGTATGAGAAAGTACCAAACCTAGGTGTTATTGAACCGTCAGATCGTTTCATAGAATCAGATCGGGGTTTAGTAGCCAGAACATTGATCAGAGGTAGCAAAGTCACTCCTGTCAGACTTATGAATTTATCTACTGAAACAAAGAATTTGTATAAAGGGACTTTTGTTGCCACCATGTCAGCTGTCGACAGTGTGTATGAAAAGAGCAGTCACAATAAAAGGGTAGGAGAACTGCCTACTCATCTACAAGACTTGTATCAGCGATCAGTGAAGGACTTGACCATAGAGGATGCCAAGGCAGTCAGAGGACTGTTAAGAAAGTATTCGAGTCTATTTGCTGCGACTGATGCTGACCTTGGTCAAACCAAGATGACGGAACATACTATCGATACTGGTACGAATACTCCGATTAAGCAGCATCCAAGATGATTGCCAATACATATGCAGGAAGAGGCAGACCGTCATGTTGACGACATGCTAGAAAGAGGAAACATAGAAGAGTGCACCAGTCCCTGGTCGTCTCCAGTTGTGTTGGTTAAGAAAAAGGATGGAACGACTAGGTTCTGCATTGACTATACGAAGCTAAACAACGCAACTGTCAAAGATGCTATCCTCTTCCTAGGATAGATGACTCCCTAGGTCAATTATCGGGTGCCAAGTATTATTCCACATTAGACTTAAATGCCGGGTATTGGCAAGTGGAAGTTGCAGAAAAAGATCAACCCAAGACTGCATTTGCAACCAGAAAAGGGCTTTATAGTTTTAAAGTTATGCCCTTTGGGCTCTGTAACGCCCCTGCGACGTTTGAACGTCTCATGGAGCTTGTGCTAAGAGGTCTGCAATGGCAGATATGCCTTGTATATCTTGACGACATTATTGTTGTTGGGAAAACGGTAAACGATATGATTTCAAATCTTACACAAGTGTTTGATCGATTGTTAGCTACGGGACTAAAGCTCAAGCCTCGCAAATGCACTCTATTTTCAACAGAAGCAGAATACTTGGGACACGTCGTATCTGAAAAGGGGATTGCTAACACACCCTGATAAAATTAAGGTCATTCAGACATGGCAGGTACCCTCAAATATATCAGAGTTAAGATCATTTTTAGGATTCTGCAGTTATTATAGGCGATTTGTAAAAAACTTTGCTATTATTGCCAAGCCACTGCATGACCTGACTAAAAAGGGTATTAATTTTACATGGTCTGATGAATGCCAAGTATCCTTCGACAATCTTCGAAAACAGCTATCAACAACTCCTGTCTTGGCTCATCCAGATTTTAATGAAAGATTCATCCTGGATACCGATGCCAGTCAATATGCAATTGGTGCAGTATTGTCACAGATAAAAGATGGTGTTGAACGACCAATTGCCTATGCCAGCAGAAGTCTTTCCAAATCCGAAAGAAAGTATTGTGTTACCCGGAAAGAGCTTCTGGCTGTTGTACACTTCATCAAGTATTTTAGACATTACCTATGCAGCAGACAATTTATGGTAAGGACAGACCATAGCGCCCTTAGATGGTTGATGAACTTTAAGGACCCCAAAGGGCAGCTTGCTAGGTGGATGGATGTGTTATCCACATATGACTTCACAATAGAACATCGGCCAGGTCGACTACATGATAATGCAGATGGTCTGAGTAGATTGCCATGCAAGCAGTGTAAAGTCAGCCATAATGAATTGACTCACCAAACCGTAAACAAACTTGAAGCTGAAGACAAGTTGATTCTAGAAAAGCCTTTGAAATGTCTTCAGGATGAAGATGAGGATATCAAAAAGATAAAAGTTTGGCTCGAAAGGAGAAAGCAACCGAAAAATGATGAGATTGCGTCCGAATCTGTTGTTGTGAAATCCCTTTGCTCTCAGTGGGACCGACTGGTCATTGAAAATGGAATATTGTATAGAAGGTGGTCAGATCTTGTTACAAAACAGGATACTTTGCAAGCCATTGTCCCGAAGCAGGAGCGATGGAATGTTTTGAAACATTACCATGACTCGAGGACAGCGGGCCATCTGGGTATTCACAAGACACTTGCCAGAAACCGTCAATCTTACTACTGGCCAGGCCTCCAAATGGATGTTCATTCTTATGTTCGTGGCTGTGAAGTGTGCACGAAGAGAAAAGCACCTAGACAAAACAACAAGGCTCCAATGCATTTAGTCTTCACATGGTATTCAATGGAAAGACTGGCGACTGATCTTTTAGGCGAACTGCCAATGACATGAAATGGGAATAAATATATCCTTGTTGTGGCAGACTACTTTACGAAGTGGACGGAAGCCTTTGCATTGCAAAACATGGAGGCAGAAACTGTCGCCACAAAGATTGTTGAAGAAGTCGTTTCCAGATTTGGAGTACCAGCTACAATACATTCTGATCAGGGTCCGCAGTATGAAAGCAACCTTTTTAAGGAAATGTGCAGACTGTTGGACATACAAAAAACCCACACCACTCCGTACCATCCACAGTCGGACGGAATGGTGGAGCGTTCAACAGAACGTTAACAACAATGCTTAGTGGTTTTGTCAATGAGCACCACACTGATTGGGATGTCCATCTTCCTTTTGTAATAATGGCATATCGAAGGTCGGTGCATGAGACTACAGGGATGACACCAAATATGATGATGTTTGGGCGAGAGGTGTCGACACCACTTGATTTGATATATATGCCTCCATCTATAAAAGAGGTGCCAAGCAATAAATGGGCATGGTATTTACAAGAACGCCTGGAAAATGCTCATAAATTTGTGAGAACAAGAATGAATCAGGCAATGGTCAGGCAAAAACATTACCACGATCGTAAACTGAAATGGCATCATTTCGAAGCGGGTGAAGAGGTTTATGTTTTCTTCCCAAGAAGAAAACCAGGTACTTCACCCAAGTTCACAAGTTATTGGCGAGGTCCATTTAAGGTGGTAAAACAAATGTCTGACTTGACATATCTGGTCAATTGTGGTCCAAGAGGATCAGATCAGGTCATCCATGTTGACAGAATGCGGAAAAAGCATGCACAGACTTTGTTAGGGGACAGCGACGAGCCGTTGCCAACATGTGAAAGTCCTGAGGACTCTGGTCCTATAAATGATGATTTTGATTCATGCGTTAATGACGAACTACGAGTGTCCCATCGCCCTAGTAGACATCGCAAACCTCCTAGTTGGTTGCACGATTATGAGACAGATTTTTAATTATCTCTGTAGTACGCATGTAAAAAGAAATTCTTAGGAAGCTTATATAGTTTTTATGTTTGTATATTTTTGTAGTGATGGCTAAGACTAAGACGGCCACAAGAAAAGAATATCGGCGGTGTCCAATGTGTTGGAATCTGCAAAGACAGAGGACGAATTTATGAGGAACATTATGGTGTGTGCCATGAGGCTGTTTGAATGCCCAATATGTGATTTCACCAACATTACAGAACTTAATGTAAAGAGACACATTAAAAGATGTCACCCTGGATTAGGACCTAATGATGAACTTATTAAACTGGGCCCAAAAGAACAAAATAAGGAGAAGGCAGGTTGCTCGTTTGGTGAAGAAAACAAAGGTGAAGAAAGCGCAAATGAAGATTGGTTACACCAGGACCTTTGTGGAGTTATAGGCGAGATATCCTCTGCCAACTCATCGAGTAGTAACTCAAGTGATGAAAATGAAGAAGATGATATTGATGAGCAGAAGGAGAAACAAGATTCAGAAGGCAATTTGTTAGAAGGAAGACTTTTCCGTAAGAAGACCCAACCGACTTTGCCATTCACAAGAAAAAGACCAAGTTTGGAGAAGATCCCTGTTCCAAAGAAGATAACTTGTATGGATTTTTCCATCCAGGTTGATATAGAACCAGCAGTCACTCCCGTAGAAAGTAACAGAGTTGATGCTTACACACAGACATCCCCAAAAAAGAGAGAAGTTGTGACCAAAACGATAAGAAAGTATCGTGAAGGAGAGGCAGACATCAGGGTTGTCACAAAGGAAAGATTATTTTACAAGTGACATATTCAAGTAACTTAATTGAAACTTACACTTAACACAGATAGTGTTCATTAGTTTGTTGGTTATCTTTATTGCTGTTCTTGTTTTGTTGATTTTTTGGTTAGTAATATAAATACAGTTTTGTCGTTAGAAAAAAAACCACAAGATAAATAAATAGAAAAAAAAAATAGTAAGTTGATATATTGATTTTGCATGCGGGACGAATGTCAGCGGAGGCGTGGGTAGTGTAATATTTCGGAAATTTATATTGTAATTATTCGGGTTCGGTGATTAGGATGTGAACGTAAACATCCGCCTTAAAAAGTATATAAAGCCTGAATCGCAGTATCAAGCATTCATTCCAGTGTAAGCTGTGGAGAGTACAAGATGTGTGTGAACAGACAGCAATATAAGTAAGTGAGGCTATAACGTCAGCTTACAGAAGAAGTCGACCTAATAAAATAAAGGTCTAGTCTACCAGAAAAGTAATAAATAAAGGCTGTTGTGTTTTTCGAGTGGCAAGCCACTCAGAGGCTAACCAGCGACGGAGGTTAGCCACCACACTTGTTATTAAGCTTGTTGACCCGTCTGGCAACCAGGCTGTTGTGTACAGTGTGTCTGCCTGAATAAGGCTAGCAGTGTGCACAGCAGTTGAAGGGCTGTCACTTGTACTGACTGTGTCCTGAATAAGGCTGCAGTACAAGCGTCAGTCCGAGGTTGGCCAGTGTAAGGGATAGCCTACCGACTGTCATTTTCTTAATCATCTGTAATTATTTGATTTACTGTTCAATATTAACGTGATTATTAACCTAGATAAGGTTGGCCATTTATTTGTATATTTTGCAGGCCTTTGTAATCAATTATTTGTCAATCATTTATAAGAAAAATTATATTATATTGGAAATCATCCCTCAAAACCTTGAATCGACAAGGTACGACCCCCCGACTGCTATTATTATTCCGCTCGACACGTTACACATATATATTAATACAGTGCAAGTTATTAGACGGAAACAAATTTAAAAAAAAAAACTACAGAAATAGCAGTCAATCATTATCACGCCATGAGAACTTTCATAGTTATTTTACACATTATGTCCAAAATCTACTTGAAAATACATTACAGTAAAACTCGTTTAGTGCGAACACGGATATAGCGAATTCACGCTGGGTCCCCGGAAAAATTCTTAACAAAGCTTTGTAAAAATTTACGGTTAAAACGAACTCTGATACAACAAATTTACGGATATAGCGAACTAATTTTGAGTCCCGTTCATGTTAAATATAATGAAATTAACATCTTTTATAACGAACTTTCAAAGTTCTCAAAATTTGATAAATTGAACTGACGTTATTTTCTTTTGGCATTTGTGTATAAAATTCAATTTATAATAAAACATTAATTATTGAATTCACAAAAAAGACAAAATTCCCATAAGACATTGCTTTTAAAACACACTTTGGTTATCATTGTTTTCTATATGCTAATTCCTGAGAGACAACTGAAAACAAACTACCGTTTCAACATTTAACGTTAATAATAAGAATTGGTGGATGTTGGCCGCATTAACATTTTTTGTGGGGAAACTGGGGAGCCGGCCAGTGCACCAGTTTAACTTCACATGAAAGGGACACACTGGGGGCCTGCGTGAACATCAGTGCCCAAACATGAACGATCACCAGCGTTCTAAGGAGGCAGGCATGACCTGCCCTTCTCACCCTGTCTCCTGCAGTGCTACCTGGTTTAACATTTGCATGAGGGAGGCATACACAAGCCTAAATGTTACATGCAACAGCCTGTAGCATCCCCTCACTCAGGTGAGGTGGATGTGGGCCCAGCCATACCCGGTGTGGGCCCCACTATGCCAAAAACATTAGAATACTGACAACAGTTAACTGTGTCCTGACTTTGTATATTTTAATTTAATTTACACTTTAAATTAAATCCTGTATTTAAACCCCTTGCTTTGGGAGCAAGTGGGGGGAGACACCCAGGTTTTGGAGCAGAAAGTGTCAACACCTACCACTGCGGACTCCCCAGTCCCGCCACAGACATTGGAACAATGAACCCCACAAAAAACCCTTTTACATTATAAACTTTTCCATTTGTCAGAAAAACAGAAATATTATCCCAGATATAGAATAAGGTTAAAAATAAGCAACTCCTTTTCATACTTAATCAACTTCATTATTAAAGCCATTGAATGGACATTACACTTGGAGCTCGTAAACAAAGGTATGATACAAAAGGTATATCACATATATGAACAAAATATAACAGCCTGTCCTGTGCTAACAAACACAATGAATTAACATATGCACATGTTCCTAGAATGAAACAATGTTGGATTTAGTGGAAACAATGACATATAAGTATATACATCTATATCAAAATATGGAGCTGATAGCCTAATTAAAGGTCGAACGGTGGGTAGTGACTACCCCTTCCTCCGATAAAATGTTCTAAGGCAGCTTGCATATTATTTAAGTATATGGTGTTGCCTATGTCCGACAGGTGTGTACCGTCTGTTCGGAACAGCTCTATTTCTGAGGCTTTAATGTTGTGATCGTGGCCAATATACAAACCCTGCACTTGGTCAGCCATGAAATTCTTCATACATTTATTGATTCTGATACGTTTTTTGTTAATTTTATTTCCCATTCCCAAAGGTGCAAAGTGCCAATACCTTCTCGGTAGGATGGCAGACCAAATGAGGGTGGTACTTGGCCATAATGCATTAAATCTAAGTAATGTACATTGTGCATTTTCTGAGAAAGTTTTTGAAGTGATTTGTTCAGTGGTTAGGTCATTCGAACCTAAGTGTATGATAAGAAAGTGTGGTGGGCTTTGATTTTTTGTCATTTCATTTACAGTTTTTTGTAACTCTTCCCATTTAAGTCCTCTTACTCCCATCCACAGGATTGACGCCTTTAAGTTGAGGTTGGTTCCACCAGGTCTGCTAGCTGCAGCCAGTCCAGCCCAGTATGGGATTGATGATCCTACTATCCATATTGTTTTATCTGAAATGCTTTGGTAAAATTACTTGAGAACATCTTTGTGTGTGTGGGTGTTGCTTGTATGGTATTTGTGGAGTATGCATGGAATGTGTGTAATTTTTTTTTTTTGTGGGGGGTGAACTAATATGCCGGACAATTTATTGCGGGCGGATGTAAGTCAAAAATGAGTTAGATTTCCATCTACCCATTTCTTTAATCTGCGTATCGGGAGTTCCGCGTTTTGCCAATTCGGTGGCCATGCCGATGCGGAAACTATGAGACCTATAGTCACCTTGCACTTGGAGAAATGAGAGGGACCTATCTAAAACTGCCTGAAATTGAAAACGGGTAATCGGTATATCATCTACATGAACAAACAATGTATCTGTATTTGGGGGCCAAAACTGCAAATAAGGCTCGATTGTTGCTGTTGGACAAAATTGTGTGTCTGGTAATTTTTATATTTGCAGAACTGAACTTTTGCCTATTTGATCTGTTTTGGATCTATTTATTTTTATGAAAAATTGACCAGCTTTGCTTTTGGAGATATCTGTAATGCACAAAGCTAGAATTTCATTCACTCTAAGCAGACCAAAAAAGGTAAGAGTGTAGGCTGCGGAAAAAAGTGCAGTCTCGAATGGTGAGCGGCATTCCGATTTTAAGGTCTCTATAATTTTACCAAACAGCTGAAATGATATGGGGAGTCGCATGTCTTTACTTAAACCACCAGACCTCTTAAAACCCTCGATAGATTTTGTAACACTGAAATTTTTTGTATTGTCCTGAAACCTGTTGATTGTGTGGTAATAAGATATTGCGCTAATGTATAGACATATAGTTCTGTAAGTGAAGTTATTGATTGAAAGGAATGCAACGAATTGTAACAGCTGATGAACTGGGACAGGCCAGCTTTGAGCCAACCCATAGTGAGCAATGAAATTTTTGAACTTTGTTAATGCAGTGTTATAATCCTGGTGAGTATTGGGTGCTAACGACCTATACAAAAGTCTTGAAGCTTCCTGTTCTAAATGTCCCAAATGTGGCGTGGTAGCGGTATGGGCCATAGGTCTGCCTCTGGTGCAAGTCGTCGAAATCTGGCCCACTGCGAACGAGATAAAGCATCAGCAATGCAATTTTCTTTTGTGTGTATGTATTTTGCTGTTATCTGAATATTATACTGTAGTAAAAGTAATACAAGCTTTCTGACAATATTCATAACTCTGTCTGATTTAGAAGATAGTGTGTTAAGGACATGTACTACTGCCATGTTGTCAATGAGGAATAGGATTTTTGTATTTTGTAAGCACCCATGCCATAATGTAATAGCTACCATAACTAGAAACATTTCAAGAGATGTCATGTCTCTGGTGATACCCAAATTAGCCCAAGACTGAGGCTAGGACCCAAATGCCCATTTCCCCCCAAAATAAATGCCGAATCCTCCGTTGCTTCCCTCTGCACTATCAGTGAAAAGTTGTATGGTTTGATTATCTAAAAATTGAGTTTTGATCACTGAAACACCGTTATATGATCGCAGAAATACTTGCCAAATAAGGAGGTCTTGCTTAATATTTTTAGTAAGCCTAATTTTGTGGTGAGGTTTTGAAACTCCGATTGTTGCATTAATGAGGCGCCTGCAAAAGGCACGACCAGGGGCAACCACCCTACAAGCAAAATTAAGTTGACCTATGAGCGATTGAAGTTCTTGCAAAGTAACTTTTTTTGAGGAGAGGAAGGAATTGATGACATGCCTTAACTTATCTAACTTTTCTGTTGGCAGAGCCATAGTCATGTTTTTGATGTCAAAAAGGATACCGAGAAACACAAGTTGAGTAAATGGTCCGACAGTTTTGTCTGCAGCTATTGGAACACCCAATTCTTCGCAAAGGGACTTAAACTTGTCAAGGGTATCGTGGCAAACCGAAGAAAATTTGGATCCACAAAAAGAAAATCGTCTAAATAGTGCAAGATAAACTTATTGCCTGTATGCTGTTCAGTTAACCAATGCAAAAAATGTGCAAATT